TTTACCTACCTCTGATTATCAGAGTTAAATCGTATCTTTTTTCCCCTGCGCTGTTGCTGATCACACAGACATACTTCCCAGCATTATCCAGAGTTACTGAGTGGAATATGAGAGATCCACTTAACTGCATCACCCGAGAGTCCAAGTAGACCGGAGTTTGATTTGTTCCTGCGTATTTGTACCAGCTAGAACAAGATTGTAAGAGAATAAGCTAATCCCAACAAAATAACAACGGTAAAATGCCATAGGCAAATGAAATAATGTTTAGCTAAGAGAGTGACTTCTTTTCACTGCAATAAATGAACGTGACTTAAGTATATTATCATTATATTAAGCCTTACAGAATTTTGACACATCATTGCGTTTACATGACTGGGAAAATATTCACGTGATTATTTACACGCATCTTACTCGACTTGCAGCAACTCCTCTAATTCACTAGATGGTTAACTCAAATCTAACAATAGTTTGTATATCAGTTCCTTTGATACACTTGCTGATTGATGTTTGTTTGTTGGATATACAAGTCTGTTTAGCTTAAGAGCTATTATTTAATTTATTCAGTGATTTAATAGTTAATGATTATTTAGTTTTCATAACAAGAGTGTTAAAAGTAATTATTTTAAAGGCGATAGTTATGACAAGTTTGGTTGCGTAACTCGGTAAGAGCCGTACGTTGTGTGTGTGTGTAGTTCAATAGTTGTAGTATTGTTGAAGTCATCTTTCTCGAAACCTCCAAAGTTTTATGTGAGTATAGTTACAATATAGTGTCTGCCTCGTAATTTGTAGAAAGTTCGAGGCTTCAATTAGGAAAGTTATATATATGCGTGATTGTTAGTATAGCCATAACGGATAATATTTAAAGTGAGTTTCATATTGAACAGATATAAGGAGAAATAACACAGGCCTGCGATGGTGTTATTGTCTTGTAATTTTTACATGTTCCACAATAATTCCTGTAAGCTGAATTCGAAAACGATATCCATTTTTCTCCATCACGTACAGATTTTTCACAAAACGTCATAACGCAATGCGTAAAAGAAAGACCACAACACGTAGTTTTGAGTCTAAAAGACGTAGATTTCATTTTTAAAAATCAGGATGAATGAGGATGCATATTTGTTTGACATCAATGTTCTTCCCTTTTCTTTAGTTTATTTGTATTTTTGTCAACAAACGTAATAATAACAAATGTTCATTGTGGTAAACTAAATTATAATTTGATCTAAGTAAGTTTTTTTCTTCCCGATTTGTAAAAAAATCCTTATATCATAGAAAAAAAAAAATATTATTTTCAAAACCTGTGAAGCTGAATTATGGAAAATTTGTTATTAAAACCAAAAAATTTTTATGAAGTTTAAATTCACAGGCCTGTGTAATTTGTCTCGTCAATTGGGTTGTAAAATAATTGAACCAGTCTGTGCAAACTTTTGAAGAAAAAAAAGGGGGGGGTATTTAAAGCTCTAGATACTACTGTGGTAACAAACATAAGAAGTTAAGTGAAGTAAGACAGAAAACGTTAAGTTAGTGAAAGTGAAGTTAGACTGCGTGATTGATTGTTAGTTTAGCTGTAACAGACAATATTTTCAAGTGTGTTTTACAGTTAACAGAGATAAGGAGAATAATCTGTCTTGTCAAAGGGTGTTCTAAAGTAATTGAACCAGCCTATGTGAACTTTGACGAAAGGGGGACAATTATTTAAAGCTCTGAATACAACTGTGATAACCGACAGTTAGAGTGGTGATTTCTAAAGTAAAAGTTTCACAGCTTGTATTGTTAGAAACAGAGTAGAGAAGAATAATCTGTCTTGTCAAAGGGTGTTCTAAAGTAATTGAACCAGCCTGTGTGAACTTTGACGAAAAGGAGACAATTATTTAAAGTTGTGGATGCAACAGTGGCAACCCACAGGTTAACGTAAGTGAATTTATCGCATATTGTATTGTAAGAAACAGAGTAGAGAAAAATAATTCGTCTTGTCAATTAGATTCGAAAGTAATTTTGTGGACTTTTGATAAGAAAAGATAATTATTTAGAGCTTTAGATACAATTGTGATATCCTATAGTGTAAAGACTTTTTGTACATACGGTTGACTTGTTTTGAATATATTATTGGCACAGAAGTCTCCAATTTTGAACTGATAGACTAGAGGGAAGGCAGCTAGTCTAAAGCACCCAGTGACTACTCTTGGGCTACTTTTGTTTGACAATATGATGGGATTTGGCAGTCATTCTTATAATGCATCCACGGCCCAAAAGTGCGAATTGCTTTTCTGAGACAACGGGATACGAACCATGATTTCTCGGATCTATATTGCCGACACACTAACTACTTGACCATGCCTGGTTCTTGGGTTGACGTAATTCGAATAAAATTATGGCATGTTACCAACTCTACTAACTAGTTGATGAAATATTTAAATATTCGGGTTTGCTATTCCTATTACTTTAGAAGCTGGTTATTGTCAAAAATCATAGTATACGTCATTCCAGCATAGCGGTACGACAGATGTATACATAATCTAAGGGGTGTGGCTTTCGTTACCAGGCATTTCCAGCTTATCAAGTAACGTCCAGATTATTTTATTAACTGTGTTAAAGGATGTTCCAGTGAGCAATTTACCTTATTATACGATTGGGTGAGTGACCACTGTAATAGTTTTGTTCGGCAAGTCGAACATGATTAATTAGATAATTAAGATAACTGACTTAGTTAACAACAGAATTTAATTAAATGTATTAATCACATAAGATCACTCACTTTATAAATAAATTAGGCATAGTTACTTTAGTTAGATAATCATTTAGATTCACGTCCTACGTTAACAATTAAGTCAATATACAGACATATTAATGTATCCAAATAGGTTTTTGCTTTATTATTATCCAGCACTTTCACGTATTTCATGTATTTGAGGTCCTGTAAAGCTTGAGAGCTTATAATGCTAAAATTTGGGATTCGATCCTCGTTTTGGACACACGCAAATTACTTTTTGTACAGCGTTCTGCTAACAAGACAAACAGAAATATTTTTGCTAAATACTGTGTACTGCAATGTGCCGTCTTACAAAGTATACTGACCCTTCTCTATTCCTTGGTATGTGTCGTTTTTCACACTATATACTCACTGTCCTTAGTTATGCATTTTTCACGTTAACCACTCACTGTTACTATTGTGTGTATTTTGCACGCTAATCACTCACCTCCCCTAGTGTGTTAATCTTTTCACAATAACTGTTTACTGGCCCAGTGTTGTTCATTAATAATTATTTATATGTCATTAGCACTTGAAATGATTTACGATACAATTTCAGCCGTATTTTGAAAGTTATTTTCTACAGGGATAAGCCAGCTATTTGTAATATATATCAATTGTTTGCTTAAAATACAGAAGAGACACTATAATATCTAGTCACGTAATGTATTGGTAAATGAGAACTCGAGTAAAAAATACCAGAAAATAATGAAGCAACTTGATAGAACAACAACGTATATAGTAGGTTTGTGATCCATTATTTGTAGAATGAGTTACTAGACTTCTTTTTTTTTAAATATTCCACTGTATAAGATACTCACCTGTAATTTGGAAGAGGAATGCCCTGAGCAGCACAAGGAAGTTCCACAAACTCACCAACCATCGCAGAAATAAACAGCTGACGACTGTCTTTAGTGCGTGGAGACATTGTTCCACTGGAATCTAGTGGAAATGAAGAGTGTTTGTAACTTTTATATTTCCACGTCTAATCATCAGTTTAACATGGTCATTTGGCGTGCAAACGAGAATAATGTTAGATCGAATACTCTTATAGGGTGGGCCTTTGTTCATCATATACAATGTTAATTCAGTATACAAGTGCTTCACCTTATGTGGTGCTCGAGTTTGTTTACTTGTTTTCGTTATCTCAATGATGCGGGATGTTCTAACCCACCTATCCGTCTTAAAACACACACACAAATATACTAAGTTACTACTTGCTGTTAATTCATATTCCCTAGTTTCTAGCGTCAAAGCACAAGAACATAGATATCAAGTCATGTTCCTTTAAACAACAAAGGAATAATTGAAAGAACATAGATATCTAGTCATGTTTCTTTAAACAACAAAGGAATAATTGAAAGAACATAGATATCTAGTTGTATTTCTCGAACAACAAAAGAACAGTTTACAGAACACATATCATGTTGTACCTCCCGAACAACAAAGAAACAGTTGACAGAACACATATATAAAGTTGTACCTCTCGAACAACAAAGAAACAGTTGACAGAACACACATATCAAGTTGTACTTCTCGTATTTTATATATTTTAAGATATAAATAAAAATTATTCTACATACATTTGACATCCCTTAGTCTTGAAGTACTCTACATCCATTTGATATCCCTTAGTCTTGAAGTACTCTACATCCATTTGATATCCCTTAGTCTTGAAGTACTCTACATACATTTGACATCCCTTAGTCTTGAAGTACTCT